AAGCTTGATTTCAACTTTCAGACAAAGTGGCAAAGCTCATTGTATAGAATGATGCCAGCTAAGTACATTGGCTAAACTGAGAAGATGTTTTAAGAATTTGGAAGAAATGAGATCAAATGTAGCCTTTGTCTTCATTGTTTGTTTTTAACGCCAAGTGTTAAGCTGACCATACATGGATTGAAATTTTGGTTGGTCCCTGTTGAACCGGCTGAATTTCGATCCATATATGGGTCTCCTGGTTGCAGATCGACTTCTGTACAACCAGCCTGTCGAGGTTTTTCAAATCGATCATTGCCAATGGCTATAGCCATGGGGACACAACAGCACAGTGGGAGTTATTCCTCATCCACATTGAGTCTGTGGATGGGGGAATTGGGTCATATATATGCACAATTCTGACTGTGTACTGCTCGGGGTTAATCGTTTATGGACAAAATTTCAAGTCTGTGTTAGGCAGACATTACATTATTTATTTTTTTTTTTTTCCATTCAACTAGTGGGTTGATCGAAAAGAGAAATGTGTGTGTGTGTGTGTGTATGTGTATATATATATATATATGTATGTATGTATGTGTATGTATGTATGTGTATGTATATATGTGTGTGTATATATATGTGTGTGTATATATGTATGTGTATATATACTTTTCTCTTTTCGTTCAAACCCAGGTGTGTGAGCAGGCAGCAGAGTGACAAAAGCTAGAGTGTGAGCTTAAAAATCAGGACATGATTTCTAAACTGCCATCACTCCCTCAATTTCAAGCCCTAGACTACTGGTGGAGGCAAGAACACTTCACACAATTTCCCCAGAAATTGTAGCTTTTCTAGTTATTATTATTATTCAGGATTTTATATATTATTATACAGGATTTTATATTATTATTATTATTATTATTATTATTATACAGGATTGAATTATTATTATTATTTATTATTATTATTCAGGATTGATTTATTATTATTATTATTATTATTATTATTATTATTATTATTATACAGGGATTTATTTATATATTATTATTATTATTATTATTATACAGAATTTTTGTATATTATTATTATTCAGGATTGATTTATATATTATTATTATACAGGATTTATATATTATTATTATTATACAGGATTTATATATTATTATTATTATACAGGATTTTATATATTATTATACAGGATTGATTTATAATTCTACAGGATTGAATTATTATTATTATTCAGGATTGATTAATAATAATAATAATAATAATAATAATAATATATAAATAAATCCTGTATAATAATAATAATAATTCAATCCTGTATAATAATAATAATATATAAATCCTGTATAATAATAATATATAAATCCTGTATAATAATCCTAATATATAAATCCTGTATAATAATTATAAATCAATCCTGAATAATAATAATAATAAATAAATCCTGTATAATAATAATAATATATAAATCAATCCTGAATAATAATATACAAATAAATCCTGTATAATAATAATAATATATAATACAGGATTTATTTGTATATTATTATTATACAGGATTTATTTCTATATTATTATTATTATTATACAGGATTTATTTTATATATTATTATACAGGATTTATATAACGCCAACAGTTTGCTCAGCGCTTAACAATATAGTAGGAGACAATACAGTTCAATATAAGAGGGATAGGAGGGCCCTGATCCTGGGAGCTTACAATCTAAGAGATGGCCTCATTTGCCTGGGTGCTGAGGCCCATAGACCTTGAACGGGCCATCTATTAATGTGGCTTGAGCTGACAGGTGCCATGTGCAGGTAGCTCACGCTTTGGGCAGCAGCAGCATGGACATAACTGCTTGTCTAGATTTAACAGGCATGCAGGTGTAGGTGACCCCCCCCCCCCCCCCCCCCCCCCCCCCCCCCCCACACACACACACACACACACACACAGTGTGTGTTTTGGGGCCACTCTCCTACATGCCTGTCAAGTTAGGATGAGCGCCTGTGTCTGCAGCAGCTGTGTCCCTTTTTTGTACGCTGACATGGGCTGCCTGCACCTGTGAATGAGAGATACGTAGAACAGAAGACAACCTGATGATTGCGGGTTCCAAACTCTGTGACCCTCTTCCTGGCGGTGACCCAGCCGCTTGTATATATGTAGACTTCTGCGATTTTGCTTCCTCACACCTATCTGATTCAGTAATTACAGTGGGATTGTAAGGCCCAGCTTTCGTGTTTGTAGGATGTCGGAATGACGCAATGTCTGCCTTCTGTCCAGGTGGAAGCCGCAGTTACAGGAGCTGCTGAAGTTGCCTTCCTTTATGCGGGTTTCGTCCAATGCAAATATGTTGAGCCACGTGGGCCATACCATCCTGGGCATGAACACGGTGCAGCTCTACATGAAAGTCCCTGGCAGTCGTACACCAGGTGGGCACCACCTGTCTGCCGTTGTCTCTTCCTCCCTCCATCCTCTGTTTCCCCATCTGTCAGTTATCCTCCTCCCCTGTCTCTCTCTCTCCCTCTGTCCTTGCTCTCTCTGCCTCTTCCCATTCTGTTAGATTCAGAGCGCCCGTCACGACTTTGTTCACTCAGAGGCTTATAACAAAAGCACAAACTGTTCATTAGCCGCGGTGTCTGGAATGCACTCTGATCATTAGCATGTTGTGAAAGCTGAAGTTTGTCCTTATATTCTCCTCTCTGCCCTCATCAACATGCCAATGACATTTCCAAAATAAAACCTTGTTTTTTTAATTCCATTTTTATTTTTTAACCAGTGACACCATTACGGGGGCGCTATGCTTCTCTATACTATGCAGGCAGATCATGGCTTCTATATACCATGCAGGCAGCCATGGTGTTTGGAATGCACTCTGATCATTAGCATGTTGTTAAAGCTGAAGTTTGCCCCTCATCAACATGCTAATGACATTTCCAAAATAAAACCTTTTTGTTTTTATTTTTTTAACCAGTGACACCATTACTGGGGCTCTATGCTTCTCTATACTATGCAGGCAGATCATGGATGGTGGGAGGGGGCTAGCAGGGTTCTGCTTCCTGAAAACTTCACAGCACCCTGCCTCAGTACTCCTCTCAAGAGCCCACAGCGCCCTGCCTCAGTACTCCTCTCGAGAGCCCACAGCGCCCTGCCTCAGTACTCCCTCTCGAGCCCCACAGCGCCCTGCCTCAGTACTCCTCTCGAGAGCCCACAGCGCCCTGCCCCTCAGTACTCCTCTCGAGAGCCCACAGCGCCCTGCCTCAGTACTCCTCTCGAGCCCACAAGACAATACCAGAAGTGGGCTGGCTCTTGGAAGGCGTTATATATAAATATCAAAGTAACCTTGATGGGAGGGCTGTCAGTCTGCGGGAGTGAGCGTTCTAGGCAGGCTGTGTTTGCATGTAGACCTCTATCAAACGCCCACATGTATTACTGAGCCTCCATGATGAAAAGATCTGAAATCCAATCAATGAAAGGGGCGGGCCAGGGACAGTCAGGCTGGGGAGGAAAGAGTTAGATGAGGCTGGCTCTCCTCCGGCCAAGGAATGAGGCTGGCTCTCCTCCGGCCAAGGAATGAGGCTGGCTCTCCTCCGGCCAAGGAATGAGGCTGGCTCTCCTCCGGCCAAGGAATGAGGCTGGCTCTCCTCCGGCCAAGGAATGAGGCTGGCTCTCCTCCGGCCAAGGAATGAGGCTGGCTCTCCTCCGGCCAAGGAATGAGGCTGGCTCTCCTCCGGCCAAGGAATGAGGCTGGCTCTCCTCCGGCCAAGGAATGAGGCTGGCTCTCCCTCTTCCGGCCAAGGAATGAGGCTGGCTCTCCCTCTTCCGGCCAAGGAATGAGGCTGGCTCTCCCTCTTCCGGCCAAGGAATGAGGCTGGCTCTCCCTCTTTCCGGCCAAGGAATGAGGCTGGCTCTCCCTCTTCCGGCCAAGGAATGAGGCTGGCTCGCTCTCCTCCGGCCGGGGGAGATACGAGGCTGGCTGGCCGTCCTGCGGCCGGGGGAGATACGAGGCTGGCTGGCCGTCCTGCGGCCGGGGGAGATACGAGGCTGGCTGGCCGTCCTGCGGCCGGGGGAGATACGAGGCTGGCCTGAAATCTCAAATCCACTCATCAGTTCCCTTATATGGACACTCCTCTACTTTTGGTAATGACATGAGACTTGAGAGGGCTTCCTGTCCTGGGGTGATGGCTCTGCTCCTCCATACATACAGTACAAAACGCTGGAACAGGAAATGTTGCTGGCAGGATCACCAGCTGGAAATCATGGAAACAAATCCTTTTGAGAAGTGCAGTTTGTGTGACCGCTATGGCTCCCTCCATGCTACTCCCTCCTCCATTCACCTCTCCTTCCTTCCTCCTCCCCATTCATTGGTCCTCTTCCATTCTGTGACATCATAATCCATTTTTTTTTTTTTATTTATTTTTTTAATTGCTGCCTTTTGTTTCTGATTGTAATCTTTGGTCCTCTTTTTCAGGTCACCAGGAGAACAACAACTTCTGCTCGGTTAACATCAACATCGGCCCCGGGGACTGCGAATGGTTCGCCGTCCATGAGAATTACTGGGAAAAGATCAGCGCCTTCTGTGACAGGTGAGAAGGCTGCATTACTGCGTTGTGCCAGCCGAGGGCGCCACTTCCCTAATATGGTCATGAATTCCACAGCCCACCAGCAGATGGCATCAGTCTTCTCAGGGGCTACCTAGTTAGCCCTGTTGCATTAAAGGGCTGGGCGTGAATCAAAGAGAACCAGTCACGACTCGGCTCGTGCAAGTTTCAATGTCCATTGTCCACGTATGGTTGTGCCAGTTTGCTTATGTAAGATCGATTATTTGCCCTTTTATTTAGTTTTGCTTACTTAGAATTCAGACTGTCTGAAGGCTTTTGTAGAAGCCAAGAGTCTGACAGGCTGACCTGTTGGTGGCCTGACATGGCAGCACAGTGACTAAATGGTTAGCACTTCTGCCTGGTCGTTGGATCAAATCCCAACCATGGCACCACCTGCCTGGAGTTTGCATGTTCTCCCTGTGCCTGCGTGGGTTTCCTCCAGGTATTCCAGTTTCCTCCCACACTCCAAAGACATACTGGTAGGTGAATTGGCTCCTGTCTAAATTGTCCCTAGTAGGTGTATGTATGAATGTGAGTTAGGGACCTTAGATTGTACGCCCCTTGATGGTTAGGGACCTTAGATTGTACGCCCCTTGAGGGTTAGGGACCTTAGATTGTACGCCCCTTGAGGGTTAGGGACCTTAGATTGTACGCCCCTTGAGGGTTAGGGACTGATGTGCATGTATAATATATGTGTAAAGTGCTGCGTAGATTGATAGCGCTATAGAAGTACCAGAAATAACGAAAAATGCAGGTAAAAAAAGTGCATTTATTATTTTTGGTTGCAGGTGCCTGTAAAGCATTGCACTGTGCTCATTAGATCGCTGGTTCCATACAGGTCTCCTGCAGACCTGTCAGTGTATCTGTCTGCTTGTACCTCGTACGGGCGAGCAGATCCTTACTGACAGGAACAATGAATGATTTATCACGGCACTTCACAGCACTGTGATAGTTCATTGAGAACTACAACCCGACAGCCGCTAAGGCTGTAGGAACTTGTAGTGTTCTCATTCACAGAATACTTTGAGTGATGCGTCCAGGTGGGGGCGCAGCCAAGTTCTTTGAAAATTGTGACAGCGAGGGAAGAAGATCGAGGTGGCGATTTTGCAGAGGCCAGTCCTTCCGTAACATGTTACACCCTGAATATAGGTGTTATGAAAGGTGAACTTATCCTTTAAGTAATTCAAGCATTGTGCCAACAGAGGGAGACAGCCTTCAAAAATGTGTGAATTATAGCTTCTACCAGCAGGTGGAGACAGTTTTCACATTGCAGGTCTCATTCTGGCTGCTACCAACAGAGGGCGCAACGCTTCCCAACACATTTTCATATAAAGCGCCGAGCAAACTGTTGGCTCTATATGAATCTTGTATAATAATAATTTTCATGTCATCCCCTGGCATTATGATGATTTTAACTTGTTGTTTTCAGGCACAATGTGGATTACCTGACCGGGTCATGGTGGCCAGTCCTGGAAGATCTGTACCGAACAGACATCCCCGTCTATCGGTTTGTGCAGCGTCCTGGAGACCTGGTCTGGATTAATGCTGGAACCGTGCACTGGGTGCAGGCCATCGGGTGGTGCAACAACATAGCCTGGAACGTGGGGCCCCTAACACGTAAGTTACACTCTTGTCGTCCTTCCGCACAAACACATCAGTTGGACTTGTGTGTATATAAAAAGTCCCTCTACGGTGTAGAATGCTGGAAAAAAACCTTGAAGCGGTATCCACTCCAAAACCAAAAATGTAATATATTGCAGCTTACCAATTGGATGTGACAGTTGAATTAGTTTTTTTTAATTTTTGGGCTTTTTTTTCCCCCTTGTTTTCACCTGGTAAACTAGACCGTAACACACTGCCTGTATTAGAGTGCCACCACTTTGGAGGAAGTGGCAGAGGGGGCACCTTTTTGGACAGCAGCATTGTCAGTCTGGGTGAGCAGGAAGTGTTAGACATACTAGCAGATTTATATACACTAACAAATTGAAGCCAGCTAGCACCTTTTTTATAAGAAATTACAGCCGTTTTTTTCCTTTTTGGGATAAAAATTTTAATTGTAAGCACCCCTGTCAGTGGTAAATGGTTTGTCTCAACCCTGTAACTGCTACATGTGCAGGACAACTTGTTCTATTGAATGCCTACAAGTACCATCAGCCTTTGTAGCTGAGGGCGCTGGTGATCTTCCTTGTAGGGCTGCTCTCAGGTGAACTTCCATAGGAAGTGTATCTTAAGAGCCCAGCCTGATTCCCATGATCTACTGACTGGTGCAATCCTCTGCAGGCACTTTTTTTTTTTTTTTTTTTTTTTGCAGGGAAAAAAAGGCACGTAATGTGTATATTAACCTTGAAGGATAACTTCACCCTTTCAAAAAAAAAAAAAAAAAATTTTTGTTTTTTTTCTTTGTAAGGGTGAAGTTATCCTTCAAGGTTAATATACGCATTATGTGCCCTTTTTTGTTTTAGGGTTTTTCTGTGACAAACTCAGTATTTTTGAAAGCCGACACCCAAGAGCATAAAAGATTTTGTCCTCAATATTTCCCAGGGTTTTTCTGTGACCCTGTGAATGATTGTCAATTTTCATCCCTGTGACTCCTATATAAAGAAATTGGAGGGATCGGTCGTCATTGTGACAAGAAAGCATTGGGAGCAATTTAAAACGCTTTTGGAAGTTTTAACCCCTCTGCCTACTAAAGCGGGTTCTGTGTTTTTTGTATGTAGCCCCGTTGGAGGGATCTCCCTTCACTTTCTGTTCTAATAGGAAGTATGGGTAAACCTCCCAAGTGGGAATACAGACATCAATAGAAACTGGACAGAGGCTCTGCATATGCCCACCAGAGGCTTTTGCTGACATTGGCCGTGTCTTTTGGGACTCACTAATGATTTTCTGTTGATAAAAAATGTCTTCACAGTTCTGGAAACGTTGCCCTGTACTGTAAACTCAAGGCAACTTCTACTCCGGCATTGCCCAGGATAGCTCTTCTATCTCAGATCCTTTAGAGCCACATAGAGGGACATCCTCAGACATTTCCTTGCAGCAGCTAGTGCAGTCATTCCCCGCCACTGGAAATTGACGACTCTACCCTTTTTTTGGGATTGGGCAACCAAGTTACACCCCATAAGGGACTCGGGGCACTTGTTGGTGCAGGAAACTGGAAGAGAGGAACTATTCTCCCACATCTTAACCGTGTGGTCCATGTTCCCCACCTTCTCCGATTTTCAGGCTTGGGCTCAAGGAGAACTGACCTTTGACATCCCTGCCATGATGGAGTGTCCTTGCTTTACCTTTTTGTCTTCACCCAGACTTCTACTTTACTCTTTCCTTCATAATCTCATCTTTTTTTCTTTCTAGTTCTCTTCTCTCATTGTCTTCCTCCTTTTTTATGAGATACTTCATAGATGGCTAAAACCTGGAGATGTTCCTCACAGCATACATTGAACGTTTGCTTAAACGTTCTTTCTCCGAACACTTTTTAGCCTAGGTACATTGGATAGCAACATGTGACTGGAGGATGTCTTCTCATTATCTACATACTGACATAATTTCTCCACCTGGCATGTGTTTTTTATGCAGAGTATTTCTGTTCTTTGTACCTCCAATTTCTGTACTTTATACTTGGAAAATCTTAATAAAATAAGATTGAATAAAAAAGTTTTCACAACAAATAGGCTTTGATAGGTAGCGTGGTGTAAATTTTTATATTCTCCAAACACTCATTGTTGGACACAGCAGCAGCTCAGAGGATTGACAGATCAGAAGGGTATACATGTTCCTATGTGGTCTGTACCCACCTGAACAGTAAGTGAGTCTCAGCTTTAGCTTTGTATCCTAAAGGTAGGACATCTTAGTCTTGGGCTTGAAAAAGGAGGATGTTGGATTTATGGCCTTGGGTGTTCCTACTGGGTCACAGCAATGTCACACCAGGCTCCCAGATCTGGAGATCTCCTGTTGTAACCATTCCCTGCAAGTCTTTTCCCCCACCGTGTCGTACCTGATCCACAAATCCAGTGACCTTGCTTGCATAATATGCTGAGAGCGTTTTTGTTGGGTTTGGTTGGCCAGTATGGGGATCTGTTGGTCATCCTAATGGCTCATTGTGTACATCTGTGTTAGCCGTAGTGTTTGATAACATGCTGATTCTTTTTGTCTTGCAGCTTATCAGTACCAGCTGGCCCTGGAGCGCTTCGAATGGAATGAAGTGAAGAACGTCAAGTCCATCGTTCCTATGATCCACGTCTCCTGGAACGTATCGCGAACTGTGAAGATCACAGATCCGGACTTGTACCGCATGATCAAGTGAGAGCCCAGTCTTGGTTTTGTTTTACACCTCTGATGTCCAGATTTTGACATCTTGTCATAATTTTTTTTCATTTTGTCTGTACGTGTTGTTTTTATGTTTCTTCCTGACTCTGGTCTCAATCTTTCTGCCCTATCTTCATTTCCTTCTAAAATGAATCAATGGTTTGTCCATGCAGGAAAGTAACAGGCTCACTTTAGTGGTGGCCCCACCAGTAGCCCATACCAGCCTTTCCTTGGCTTCGTCCATTCCGTTTTCTGTTATGCTGCCAAGAAAAATACTTCATTTATGGGAAACGTGCGACTCCCTGCCCTTCCTTCCACATGACAGCGCTAGAGTTTGGTGATTAGCTGCTCACGCACTACTGCTATCATAATGGGAGTGGGAAGAGTCGTATGCTTTGTGTGCTCCAAGCCACCACTTGGATCTTGCACAGGACTTCCAAATGGCTCCACAGGAGGGTAAAAGGATGGTGATTAGGGCAACTGGTGGGACTAGCATTTAAGTGTACCTGTTATAATTCACCTGGTCAAACTGCAGGTTCCCTTCAAGCGTGGTGTCCCCTTATGTTGCTCTACACCTCAGTCTTGGCTCACTTTCCTTTACTCGTGTTGTCTGTTCTTGTTTTCTTCATTGGACCATTCTCACTTTATTGGTAATGCTGCCCGTTTTATCATCAATTCTCCTATGTCTTCCATCCCATGTCCTGCCAGCATAGTGCCAGATTATCCACGTTCTCCTCTGCCATCTCCTTGCCATACCTCATCCTCCATTATAGTCCAGTATTACCATTGGTCATACTTATTTTTTTTTTTCTTGTCAATTAAGTGCACCTTTGTTCACAATGAGTCACTTCTATTATATACGTATGCAAAATACATCTACATTATTATTATACAGGATTTATATAGCGCCAACAGTTTGCTCAGCGCTTTACAATATAAAGGGAGACAATACAGCAACAATACAGTTCAATACAAGAGGGATAGGAGGGTCCTGCTCCTTGGAGCTTACAATCTAAGAGGGAGGGGCTAGTGTTACAAAAGGTAGAATCTTCTGTGGGGGATGGACAGTGGTAGGAAGAGTTAGAAGATTCTATTAGCTGAAGGCAGGATAGGCTTCCCTGAAGAGGTTTTCAGAGATCACCTAAAAGTGGGCAGAGTAGGCGATAGTCTGATTGAGGTAGAGAGTTCCAGAGGATTGGGGGAAGCTCTGGAGAAGTCCTGTATATATATTGGTTATAAAGTACCCCCCCCCCCCCCCCCCCCCCAGGAAGCTAAGAGGGGGTGGGAGTCCAAATATTTGTTATCTATACTCTGACCTCCGAACTCTTCTCATCGCATCTCCAATCCCGACTCAGACTTTTGCTGTCCTTCAGCACTTTTATTTACCTGTCCTCTTGTGGTCTCATCTTGCAGGTACTGCCTCTTGCAGTCCATAAAGCGGTGCCAGGTACAGAGAGACAGCCTGATGCGCGGCGGGAAGAAGTTGGCCTATCAGGCAAGAGTTAAGGATGAACCAGCTTATTACTGCAATGAGTGTGACGTGAGTACCAGTCTACAGTGGTCATTTTGAAGGGAGGGGTTATCCTCGGGTATTGTTTCTAATGGTCTGTATGATTTCTCCCTCTGATAGGTGGAGGTTTTCAACATCCTGTTTGTCACCAGTGTGAGTGGTGGGAAAAAAAACACCTACCTGGTCCACTGTGAAGGCTGTGCCCGCCAGGTCAACAGCACCATGAATGGAGTGGTCATCCTAGAGCAGTACAAAATGGAGGAACTTATGCATATTTATGACAGCTTTCACCTGGTAAGAATCTGGGGGGAGGTGCAGGAAGAAGAACAAGGTTTTTATGTACCTGTTTGCTGGTGTAATTCTTGGTATCTGTTCTTTCCCTGTATGTATGGACTCTGCACAGTCCCACTTCTCCTGTCCTGTACGCCGGGTGTAATTCTCAGTATCTGTCCTTATTCTGTATGTATGGACTCTGCACAGTCCCTCTTCTCCTGTCCTGGATGTCGGGTTGAATTCTCGGTATCTGTCCTTATGCTGTATGGATGGACTCTGCACAGTCCCACTGCTCTTGTCCTGTATAATGAGTGTAATTCTCAGTTATTATTCATTTTGTAACTTAGTGCATATTTTTTTTTTTGTTTTTGTTTTTTTTGTTTTTTTTTTTAAACTTGATGTCTATTAGCACTGCACGATTGTCCTCTCCCCACTCCTCCTCCGCTTTGCCATTTTACAAAATCTGTCACATGCGCAGATGCATTGCTGGTCTCTTCCAGGTATTTAGGACCTGTGAGAGATCGGCAACACATCTGTGAACATTCAGCAGATTTCTGTGCATGCGCTCAAACGGTAAATGGGCAATAAGCTTTCAGCTGTGTTTGTGCACATGTACAGAGGTCCGCTGCTCCTGTGCATATGTGCTGGTAACACATGGCCTCCTGGGATTGCTGTATCACAGGCCGGAAAACAGAAATTGCTGCCTTGCAGCACAAAAATGATCTGAAGGGTGAACACAAGTTTGTGTTGTGTGTGGTTTTTTTTTTTTTTTGTTATTTCTTACCTTTTTGTGAGAGAGAAGGTGGAGGGACATAGAACACACATGTGGTGTAGTGAGCCAAGTTCTGCTTTGTGCTTCTTGTAAGCTGTGCAGCAGTTTCCTTTTCTTGTATATTGAGGGACACAGGAGTTCAAAAACAGCTGGGTTATACGTCCGCCATAGACAGTATTACATGACTGTTCCTGAATGCCTGTGTTCTTCAATGGATTCAAATAAATGGTTATTTCAGTACAAAATCTCATTTGGCACATTTTAAGGTTAATTTATACTATCTAGTCTTTGAAAAAAACTATTTACATTTTCCTAATCCAACAATATGGGACACAGGATCTCATACCCATGAGTTATAGGCAACTTGCTTCAGGTGATTGGACACTGGCAAAAAAAAAAAAAAACTACAGGGATAGCCCCTTGATATGCTATCCCTCTCCCAGCTAGCCACTGTTTTTGGGGGAGTTTGGGGTTTTTTTTTTTTTTTTTTTTTTTGCTAGTGTTCTTAGGTGATGGACATTCTCTCTCCCGAGTGAACATTCTTCACCCTGTTTGCTTTTTGTTCTTTTAGATACATATCCTACATACACTCAAGAATGCAGCTTTTGCATTAGTTTTTCTCCTTGGCTGAGCCTTGGGGGTCTGGAAGAAGATGCCTGGCATGCCAGCCTGAAATGCTGCTTTAGGCACTGGATCCTGTGTGGGCACTCACCTTGGTATGATGTGCATCGTGTTGGCCACAGGATCCTTTACAAGTCCAGGGGTCCATCAGCGGTTTGAGTCCCGTCTCTGAAGGCCCCTTCTGAGGTATGCTTATCCAGGCAGGCACAGCCAGGATATAGGCTTGTACCTTTTGGTCCTTTTTTCATTATGTAAGAGCTCTGCCGTGGTACATGGGTTTCTACTCTTTTAAAGCTGGTCCCCAGTGTGCAGGTTCTGATCCCCATGGGTTTAGCAGAGCAAAACTATGGAGTGGGAGAGCTGATCTAATCAAATTTGGTGCCATTTTTGGGCCTCTGTCAAATGAAAGCCGCCTACATAGCCTTGGAGGTGCAAGCATGCTGCGCATACGCACATCATTTTCGGCTTTCTCTGGGCTTATTATTCCTGGTTGGCATCAGGATCTCCTGACTATTGCATAGACAGCACAGTGATTCTTGGACACCACTAGGATTGCCAGCAGCCTGCTGACACAGAAAGTTTTCCCTCTCCTCTCTGGACTCATGGAGTTTCCCCCATTCTGATTCTCTATCCTTCTCTGGGGGTTCGTCTGCCCCTTACATGCCCTTTGACTAGAAGGGAATGTTCTGCTACCATGTCTGACTTAATGGGTAGGATTTCTGTCCTTTCTGAGGCTGTTCATCGCAGTGGATGCAAATGGGCCCCTTTGGCCACCTCCAAGTTCAGTCTTTCCCTTGTGGTCACTGCACTACCTGAGGAGGGGGGTCAAGGAGATGAAAGGTGAGGAGTCTTGCTTCTGCAGAATAAGACTCTGGAAGCATTCTCTACTGAGATTTTCAAAATTGAAGGATACCATTTCAGTCTTTATTGGTAAAGTGTGGTTCTGCGTTAGAGCATCCTGTGTGGGACCACCCTAAGGTCTCTAGCATGGGCTCCCTGAAACTGCCTTTGTCCATTGCTCTGATTCACATTCAGGATATCTCCTTTGTAGGCTGCCTGATTGATCTCCCGTCAAAGAACCAGTAGAAGGCCCTGTCGGCCAGTGGCTAGCCGGAAGTGCAGACTCTGCAGAGCTTCGGATGGATCTTCAATTTTGAGAAGAAGTTGTTGAAAGCTGCTCCTTGCTTGGATTGCCCTGTCCAGGATTCTCCTGCCTCAGAACAACCTCCTGTCTCTGTTCTTGTGCCTGGACTCTGTCTGAGAGCCACCCCCCAATTTACTGCTGCATGAGGACACGGAGTCTGATGGTGGCCTCTTTTTTTGAGGTGGTGCCATTTGCCCAGTTTCACTCCAGACCATAACAACCTTCAAGGACATGGACAAATCATACAAAGGATGTTAGGCTGTCTGGAATGTAGCCATCAATGCCCTCTTGGATGCATAGCACTTGGTTGCTGGAAGAAGCTCAACTTCCCATCATTGTCTTGGAACTGTGGGCAATTCTGTTCCACCTATACTAGACCTCAGCTACGGGGTCATTCGATCAGAGTTGGACAATGCCACGGTAGTAGCCTACATCAAACCACCAGAAAGGTACCAAAAGTCACATTACTGAAAGGGAAGTGAATTCTGTCTTTGGCAGACCAGCACGTTTTGCCATGTTCACATCGCAGGCATGAAAAAATGACAGGCAGACTTTCTCAGTAACCAGAGCCTGGGTCCAGAGGAATGGTCTCCCTGCCCAGAGTAAGGGACACCGGACTTGGATCCTTTTTGTTCTGAGATTCAGCAACAAACTGGACAGGTTGATCACTAGGTCCAGGACCCTCGTGCCTTCTCAGTGTATGCTATGGTGTCTCAGTGAGATCAGTCCTATCTGATCTGTCTCTTCACCTCTAAAAGGAGCTTCATCCTTCTCTGCTCTACATAATCGAGATGGAAGACATTCCAGTGATTCTCATTTCACAAAACTGGCCCAGGAGAATGTGGTGTTCTCAGACTCCTGACACATTCTGTAGGCTCTCCTGGATTGCCCAGGCATTTTGTCCCAAGAGCTGATCTATCCTGTTATTCGAACGCTAGCTTTTACGGTGTGGCTGCTGAAGCCCAGGTCATGAGTGGGAGGTGGGCCTTTCAGATTTACTCTGTATTCTCTTGAAAGCTAGGAAGTCACCTTCTCACAAAATCTACCACTGCATCTGGAAAGCCTAGTTGTGAAGCTATGAAATGCTACCGTAGGAAGTACTTTGTGGGCTGCATCCTGTCCTTTCTTAAAGGGTTAGTTCACCTTCACCAGAAAAAGGGGTAGAACTTTGTGAGGAGGCTTGAATCGGCTAGGAGTTTCTGAGCAAAGTCCTATGTCTTGCTTTGAAACATCCCAAGGAAATCTCTTTCCACTGTTTGCCTAAAGGCCATAGTTGAGAGACCCTCACGGCACATGCAATCCAAGCTGATACCCCCTTTGAAGCACCCTGAAGGAACCCTCAGGAAGGACATTGTCTTTAAGCATCAGGCATACATTTTTCAGACTATTAAAGCTGGCACTAATCTGTTCGCATGTAAATTTTACCATGTGGATGTTCAGATTTCCCCCGATGCCGGTTTGAAGCGTAAGGAACCACAAGTTGTTCTAAGCTCTGGCAGGGTGTGTTTTTTTTGTTTTGTGTGTTTTTTTTTTTTTGGTTTTGTTTTGTTTTTACTATGTTGTCCATCCTTCACTTAGTATTTCTAGGCATAACCATGTGACATCCTAGAATAGTCTGTCCTATACTGTACAATTAATAACGGGAATTTTGAATTAGTAAATCCTTTTCTGGGAGTACAGGACAGTACAGTCCCATCCCTTCGGTCTATATGATCGTCTTATCGCTTGCTGCAAAACTGAGGCTAGCTGGGAGTGGGAAGGATTATAGATTTCAGTCACTATCCATTCAACTGACAGTAGCTGCCTATAATTCATGGTTAGAACTAAAGATCCTGTGTTCTGCATTGTACTCCAAGAAATTATTTTACAGGTAAGTGTAAAAAAAAAAAAAAAAAAAAATGATCCTAATTTTTGTCTAAAATGTTTTTTTTTTTTTTTCTCCTTAGACCCCTCCTCCAAGCACACGGTGATCTTCTCCCTGCTCTTCTGCTCCTACGACATTCTCTCTCCCCCCTCCTTTCTCCACCCACCACCGAGCCAGCCAATCAACTCTTCCCCTTCCTCCCCAGGACCCAGGGAGGAGAGAGGGGCGGTGCTAATAAACCAGCCAAACAGACGTGAACACAGAGAGAGAGAGCCACGGAATGAGGGGGTGGGAGGGAGAGGAGCCATCTTTTTTGTTTTGTTTTTTTTTTATTGTCTTTTAGACCGAAATGGCAGCTCATATTTTTCACTCTCCAGCCAATCACAAGCCTTGTTTACACAGATCCCCCCCCTCGCGGGAACAGCCAATCAGGATGCAGGATTCTACATGTCTTTGATAATTTTATTATTATTTTCCTTGTTTGTTTCATCTTTTTTGTAATTTTATCAGGAATATTTATTCTGAAATCTTGAATTTGTGATTTTTTTTTTTTTGAAGGGGGAGTGTTTTATTTTTTTTTTTGGGGGGGGGGGGGGTTGTATTTTTTTCGGGTGCTTTTG